CAACAGAAATACTACTGGCCAAGACTTCCAGCTATTGTGAAGCATTACGTGCGCACGTGCCTCGATTGCCAACGACGAAAATCGCCACCGTTAAAACCAGCTGGGCTATTACAACCAATTCAAGTGCCCACGGTACCTTTTGCCCAAATTGGAATGGATCTCCTTGGACCATATCCAACTTCCCATGCTGGCAACAAGTGGGTAATAGTCGCCACTGATTATCTTACGCGCTATGCCGAAACAAAGGCTGTGTCAAGTGGCACTGCCGTTGAAACCGCACGATTCTTTGTAGAAAATATCGTCCTGAGGCATGGTGCTCCAACAATCATAATAACGGATCGAGGTGCCGCTTTCACGGCCGCGCTCCTGAAGACAGTGCTTGAGCTCAGTGGAACCGCCCATCGGAAAACCACTTCCTATCATCCACAAACCAACGGCTTAACAGAACGCCTCAACAAGACTATTGCCGACATGTTGAGTATGTACGTTGACGTGGATCACAAGAACTGGGACGACATTCTACCGTACATCACGTTCGCCTATAATACAGCGCAGCAAGAAACTACACGAAGAACGCCGTTCAGTCTCCTTCATGGCCGTGAAGTGACGACGATGCTTGACGCCATGTTACTGCACGACTGCAATGACATCGATTTGGACGCTGCATCTTTTATCCAACGAGCAGAAGAAGCGAGGCAGCTTGCGCGCGTCCGAATCACCCAGCAGCAAAATTATGACGCCCAACGTTATAATCTGCGACACAGACATGTCGTCTATCGGGCCGGCGACAAAGTCTGGGTATGGAGTCCTATCCGCCGTCGGGGACTGTCTGAAAAAATTGCTGAAGAAGTATTTTGGCCCCTACACAGTTTTACAACGCCTGAGTGACGTTAATTACGTGGTCGTTCCTGACAACCCCTCGACAACTCGCCAGCGAAAACCAGAAATTGTACATGTTGTGCGAATGGAGCCCTACTTTTCGGACTGATCTACACCATACATCTACTACACCATCTTTTGTAGAAGAGCATCGGGACGCTGCTCTCTGGAGGGGGGCAAATGCCACATTGAATATGCAGCGCGAAGAGGACAACGAAGAACACGCGCAGCGAGTGAAGAAGACGAGGTTCTCTCCCGATCAGTTTGCCAGTATTCTAATACAATTAAAGTGAGTTCCCTGGATTCGACTGCTGCTGTTTCTGCATTGTGACAATATATATATATATATATATATATATATATATATATATATATATATATATAGTGGGAGTAATAATTCAATGGGCCAGTTAGTCTTCGTGAAGGTATGGGATATGGCACAACGGGAGCGTTGTCAACAAGGATAAATATATTTATTTCCCAACAGTTTCGGGAGGGGACCTCCCTTCATCAGGGGATGAGTTATACTGACATGAGCTTCTAAACTTCCTTGCTGCCGCGTCCCTCTCGCCTTGAAAGACGTTTGCGAGAGTGAGAGGGAACTGAAAAAAAAAGAGACGAAAAAAGAAAGAAAAGAAAGAAAGTAAAAAAGAGGAAGAACCACTGTCAACACTGAGAACGAAGCCAACTGTCCGTCTACATCCACCTACGGTTCATATCACGTGCTGTTCAGTTCTTGGCGTTATCCTTGTTGACAACGCTCCCGTTGTGCCATATCCCATATATATATATATATATATATATATATATATATATATATATATATATATATATATATATATATATATATATATATATATATATATATATATATATATATGTATATATATATAAAGTGGTCTCGTGATCAGCTGAAACATGCGCCTGTGGAAAAACAAAATATGCTTCACTGCAATACAGCAGTAACGTGCAGGCAGCATGCTTCTTGCAACGTCACCACATGACGATTTATCCATTCTTTCTGGGACTTTAAAAAAATTAATAAAGGACAGTCTGGAGAAATCCGCGGTGTGCGCCGGTTGCTCCAGCAATTCGCACACTTGCGCAGCTGGCGAAGTTCTCGCCTGCAACGCCTACTTCGAAAACTCGAGTCGAAAGCTTTAATGGTGATGTTTTCCAGCCAAAACACATCGCGAATTTCGCCAGACTGTTCATTATTAAATTCCTTATTTTACCAGGAAGAATGGGCGAATGGTCGCATCTTGACATGCTGATGCAGCGAGAAGCAAGCAACATGCTGTCCGCATGTCACTACTGTGTTGCAGTGAAGGTGTCTTGTTTTTCGCAGGCACACATTTCAGTTGATCACTTTTTTTTTTTTAGGTTACAGCAGTTAGGCCTGAAATTCCCCCTTGTTTTCAGCAAAAATGTGACCAGGTGTGATGGTTAAGGACGTTCGTGATGGTTAAGGCGGATGACCTGTGGTGGCCCATAGAGGTGGCGTATTGTGATGAGTGAAGAAAACGACAACAACGAAATGCGGGGCAAGGCGCGTGTAATGTGCGCGTGAGTGTCAGCGAATCAGCGGATGACCTGTGGTGGCCCATAGAGGTGGCGTGCCACGATTGGACCACGGGCGACCATCACGTGGCAGTGGGCTTTGTGGCTGGGGACGAGCCGAAGCAGCGGCAGACGGGAGACAGCGGGCCGAAGCGTCGGACGCAGGCGATCCACGTTCCGGCCAGGGAACGCGGCCGTCCATGCTGCTGCCGTCCAACTACCAGCTGGTGCGGCATTGCCGGCACGAGTACTGCATCTCGGGGCGTGGCCTGGCCTGCTGTTCTCTTCCTTGCCGAGGGCATCGCGGATCTCGGCGAGGCGTCTCCACGGTCAGCCGTTCGACACAGCGATGAACGTGGCCTGGCTAATGGTCACGGTTGCGTCGAGCATCGCGTCTCGGCGCACGCTCTTCGCTGGACGGGCTGGCCATTCCCCGCATGGAGCATCGCGTCTCCGATGCGGGTTGACTGCTCAGTAGTCGCACCCATGCCATCAAGCGCTGGTGTCACCAGAGCGTCGCACTTCGGCAAGGGACGGGGACGAGCGAGATGTTCTGCCGGGCGAGACGCGGGCGTGTGTACGGAAGACCATGGAGCCGGGCGAGGAACGCCGGTGAGTGAGCTGCCGCACCGCAGCTGTAGCGAGCAGCATTTCAGCACGGCACAGACGGTGCTGTGCTGGCCAGAACCCGCACGTGGAACCGCTACGCCCGGGTGGTGATCAAGAGCTTGGAAACGAGGTCCGAGGTCGCGCTGGTCCAGGCATCTCCGCCACCACAGCTCGAGAGTTGAGGCCACGAAGGCAGACGAAGCAGTGCGCCGCTCGAGAGGACGAGTTCCTGGGAGCGTTCCTGAGCCGGACGTGGGACCCGTACGTGTCGGCCAGGTCGAGCTTCGGCGTGTTCGCTCGGGGTCGAGTCCGCCGGCCGGTACAAGGTGCAAGGACGGGGCCTGCTGAACGGCTCCTGCCTGGGTGCAGTGGCCAGGAGCAGGTTCGTGGGCGAGGCCTACCGGGCGTGGTCCTCGTGAGCCGGGGCCTGACCCTGAACCTCAGGAGTTGTGACCCTGACTGCTGGCCGCGACGTCTGACTAAACGGCGCTGCACACGGTAGCGCATCCGTGTGCCGTCAGCCGTTCCAGCCGCTCCAGCCGTGCCACCTTTGCCCTCGCGCACGTCGACGATCGCATCATGTCGGGACGACGGGGACCCAAACTGTGAGGCAGCGTTTTCCTCTTGCGAACTGAGAACTCTACGCGCTGGACTCGGAGTAAGCGTAGCCGCGAGCTCTCCGCATGCTAGAGGTCTGACTCTCGTACATGTTGCGTGACGCTTGGCGTGTAGAGTTGAACATATAGTTTTATTTTCACCTGCCACTTCGTTCTCTAGTGTACAATATAACGCTTCTTTTGTTCGCATCCATTGTTGATGTTAATCCTTTTTCGTCCGCTATCAACAAACACAGTGACGAACGTCCTTAACCATCAAACCAGGTATTGCTGGAATGCATTACCCTTGGAGCCACAAACTAGCTGGCACATCATACGGCCAGCCCTGATTAATTTCAAAAATTTTAAGTCCTTTGCATTCCACTTTTTCCACGTTCTGTTAATTCGAGAGCCCGCTTAATTCGAAGATTTCTCACCGTCCCAGTCACTTCAAATTAACGAGGCTTTACTGCAGCTCAATACGATGTAGGCACTCACAGTGCACAAGAAAGGTTTCAGGCGAAGTTTGCATGACATCATGTAGCAACAAAATAGTACAGAAATGCTGTCTTTGACGGCAGCTGGTTGGAAGCTTCCACACTACATAGTTATATGTGTGTCATATAATATGCAAGTTTTTACGGTAGCTGATAGCTGGAAGTGCAGTGAAACTAAACGGTGCAAACCCTCTGCAGTTCTGGAAAATGTATCTGCCACAATTCATTGCGCCTACACTTCAAGGTGTCCATAAATTGGCCATACTGTGATCCAGAGCCTCCTTTATATCTTAGCCTTCCAGACTTTGGTCATGGGGTATGGGTTGACAGCAGTAAACAAAGTATAGTATATGCCCCTGCTTAACATGATTGATTTGATTGATTGTTGAAGTTTTAATCCGAAAACCACAACAATACCGCGTCTCTATTTGTTCCCAGATATGCGCTGGCGCCACAAAAAACGACGAACGATCCACTCGAGAAATGCCGCACGATAAACAAAAGTAGGCGTTTTTGGTGGACACCTTTGCTATCTCGGAGAGGATGATGTGCTTCTGTTTGCTACTATAAAGCCACCTGTACTTCGTAAACTGCTACAACATGATTACGAGAGATGCTGTAGTGGAGGGCTTCCGACTTTTGACCACCTCGGGGTCTTTAACGTGCACCTAAATCTAAGTACTCGGGCCTCTAGCATTTGGTCTCCATTGAAGTGTGGCCGGAACAGCGGGCATTCGATCCTGCAACCACCGGGTCAGCAGTCAGGCACCATAACTACTAGACCATCACGACAGGTCAGACACTTGCTTACTTCAGATGGAAATAATCCAGGGCTCGCACAACAAAAACAAGCTCGAACCTGCAGGTACGGGGACCGTGACCGTTTTGCGCTGTACAGTGGTGCCCTTGGCATGGCATTCTATGCAGGGTGCCTGGATATGCATGCGAGTGCCATGACAGTGCCGACATGTGCTCCTCATCACGAATGGCCCTGTGCTGACCGTCTCCTGCAATGAGGAAAAAAATCCACCTTTACAACAAGTTAATGAAATATCTTCAAGATAACGCAGGGGGCAATACACTACAGTATGGTTACGTAAAGATGACGATCAAAGCTACATTCTACTGGTTCCTACTTCAATCCGAACTAGACTGCAAATATTTGAGACAATGACAGAGCTCAACAAGATTTAAGAGCTTACAGAATACCGTATTTACTCGCATATTCCTCACACTTTTTTTGCCGGAAAACCAATGAAAGTTGGGGGTGCGAGAATTACGCGGGGAAAACTTTCTACGAAAACGTACAAAGCGAAAAAGAAAACGAAGTGGTCGCAAATCGGGATTATCACACCAACAACTAACAGCAAGCTTTAAGAAGTACTAATTAAAAACTAACAGCAAGCTTTAAGAAGAACTAATTAAAACTTACCTCAACAATAAAAGCATAGGTTCAACACAAGACAAGATTTAATTGAGACACAAAAAGTGGAAGCAAATAGTCGAGAATTAGAATACCATACGCAAAGCTTGCGGACGTTGCGGGCATAGCGGTAGCGTTCGTAGCTCAACAAGAGCCCTCAAAAGGTAAGCGTGGGACCTCAGTATTGGGCTGATGTCTATTTAACAGAATTGTTCGCAGTTTCCTTCTTAAGAAATAAAGTTTACCATCAATCCCAGTTTTAGGCACACGGCAGGCTCAACGCGTCTGTGTGGCTTTCAGCAGCCATCACCAGAAGCGAACACAAAACTCGTAGACTCCGAAGGGCCTACCGGCGGCCTTGTTGCCGTTCTTTAGTGCATGATCTATTACTTGCAACTTGAAAGCAGCCGTACAGCTTCAGTATCGCCTCATAACTTGACAAGGTTACCGACGCAACATACAAAACACGCCGCAACGCACACTGACCCCTTCGGCTTGGCTTGAGTTGGATTGAATCTCTGTGCAATAGTACGCTTGATGCTTAAAAGATGGTGCCAGATGACGTGCGCTATCATCATCAATAGCTGGAAGGAGCAGACGACATTATTGCACCAGTTTTCGGGAGTGCGATAATTACTCGAGGAAAAAAAGAAATCGTATTTTTTGTTGGGCGATATTTTTGTTGGGTTTTGTATTCACACAACCTGAAGTTGTGTGAATACAAAAACTTTGGGTGCAATGCAAATCTGAATACATATTGAATTGTGGCCAACATGGCGGACACCCCAATCAGAGACCTCAGATTGCCTCTCAAGTTCTTGCTTGTTGTGCGCATTTTTTTTAATGAAGGAGCCAGCTGAAGTGGGGAATTTAAACATATAAAAATTCTCTTTCCGACAAGCCCAAAAAATCCGCTCCCCGTCGCACCATCACGAAGCTATATTTTTTAAAAATCACCATATTTTTCGCGATTTCTAGAATGACTTATGCCGCTCAAGAGGGCAACACAAATTCTTCAAAGCACTTTGACGCCAGTTTCAGGGCACATATTTTGGAATCAGACTAAAAAAGTATTCTGACAAACTGAAAGTAAAATTTTAAAAATATTGATTTTTTTGCCATTTTTCGTGATATAAAAAGTCAGCATGCCCCCTTAACATGATTGAGTTGTAGCTCTGTACATGATCAAAATAAATATCTTAACATTATAATTACCATGCCAATGCCAATGTACTGGCCAACTCACCATGCCACTGCCATTGCAGAAAGGGCACCGGACTAGCTTGGTGCCAGGTTCACTGCGGGTGCCTTGGCAACGACGACACGTGTCAACCACGTTGACTGTCACGTCCTTATTAACCCCTCGAGCGGCTTGTTGAAAGGTCAAGTTGAGGATCACCTGTTAGTATTACAAAGCCCAGCAGTTAGTACTGCAGACGGACTGCACTAACTACGACATCGTAGTTCACCTCTGGCACTAGGCAAATTGTGGTGTGCTTAATGCACTACTCAGACTTTCATATATGTGGCCCTTTTGAATGTACTCCAGGGAAAACAATGTATCATAATACCAAAAAAACTGAGCCAAAGGATCACAAACTGCATGCTATGTGCAAGTTCTAGTATAGCAGTTGTCAACTTTACCTCCTTCAATTTCCTTTTGCATTCCTTTTTGTATGTTTTGGCAAAGACTGTAATAAACTCATACATAGTCATGCCGAAAGCACCTGCATAATACATCAAACAAGCACTTCCTCTTCAGTGGGAGTGTGCTTACAAGACCAAATGAAATGCTCTGCAAAAATATAATTTTTACTACGGCCCAACCTGTGGAAAAGTAAAAGAGAAAATTATCTACAACACTGTCACATGATGCCAAATAAATCGAAAATTCATGATAAGTGCAAGAGTAACATAATGTGACACTGGGAGGACACAATCACCAGCCCAAGTGCCAGGATAAGCTTCAGAGATACATTATCAGTCTTATTGCAAGACTGTTTTCCACCCAAATACACACTAAGAGTAACATTAGCCATGGCTCTTTATTTCCATAACTAGGCAGGTGAGAAAGCGTTGCTCTCTTAGAAATGCAGTGATCAGAAGATTTCAGTTTACAGCCCAATGATAACGGACAACTTCCGCATCACCCACTTTCCACTACCAAGTTCTGGTGCATGCTAAATAGTACTACCGTAATTACTCTAATCTAACGCGCACCTTTTTTCCGGTTAAGCGAGTTCATAAATCGCATGCACGTTAGAATCGAGTAGCAAAAAAAAAATTGAATACGGTCATTCTATTGCCATCGGCATTTCCAGAATGGCCGCCCCCTACGTGCGTCGGCATGGCGCGTCGGCCATATCTGCCTGTGTGTTTCCCATGTGCGGCACTTCGTACGTGAGCTGAGGAGTTCGTCATCTTGTAGTGCATTAGCATCGACGTCATGGAAGGGACCGACTCCAAAAACTCGAGTGCACCACGATGCCGCTTTTAAAAGAAAAGTCATCGCGTGTGCTGAAACGGACGGAAATCGGGCCGCATCGCGGTTGCTCAGAGTTCCCAAAACGTGCGTGCGCGACTGGCAGAAACAAAAGCAGAAGATTTTCAACAGCAAAGATTCACCCAAAGGCTTCAGTGGACCACAGCAGGGTCGGTTTCTGCAAATTGAAGAGCTGCTCAACAAGTATATGATTGAGCAATGAGCGGCACAGTGGCCCGTGACGACAGAACTGCTCCAAGTGCACGCTATGCAGTTAGCCTTAAAAAAAGGGCTAATGCGGAGCCAGTTTAAAGCGAGCAGGTGCTGGCTAACTAACTTTATGAAGAGGAAAGGCTTTTCCCTCCGAAGGCGAACAGCATATGCGAAAAGTTTCCGGAGGAGTACGATGAAAAGCTTCACAGTTTTCAGAGGTTCGTCCTAAACTTGCGGCACAACAACGGCTACCTGCTTGGGCAAATCGAGAATGCCGATCAGACGCCTCTTTACTTCGACATGCCTGGCACCACAACTGTCGAGAATTAGGGGGCGAAGCAAGTTCGCGTGCTGACATCGAGCCACGGTAAAACTAGAGTGATGGCAATGCTCCGTTGCACGTCAGATAGGCACAAGCTTCCCCCATACCTCATATTTAAACAGAAGACGCTCCCGAAAGGAGTCGTTTTCCTGAGTGGTGTGATCGTGCGGGCCAACGAGAAAAATGGGTGCGCGTTGCAATCGATGTCTTACTTTTTTTTTTTTTTTTTCGTCGTGCAAACCAGGTGCGGGTTACAATCGAAGGCGCGATAGAATCGAGTAAATACGGTAACCAAGGCACAAAACATTCATGCTTCTTAACTTGAGGACTGCAAGTTGGCCTTTACAATGACTCTCCTTTTTTTTTTTAAGGGGGCAGACTGCTCTTTGGGACCAAAAAGTGACAAAAAAAAGCATTTTTTAAAATTGACATACCGTATTTACGCGATTCTACCACGCCCTCGATTGTAACGCGCACCCGGTTTCCACGACGAAAAAAAAAAGTAAGACATCGATTGCAACGCGCACCCATTTTTCTCGTTGGCCCACATGATCACACCACTCGAAAAAAAAGACTCCTTTCGGGAGCGTCTTCCGTTTAAATAGGGGAAGCTTGTGCCTATCTGACGTGCAAAGGAGCATTGCCGTCACTCTAGTTTTACCGTGGCCCGATGTCAGCACGCAAACTTGCTTCGCCCCCTTCTTCTCAACGGTTGTGGTTCCAGGCATGTCGAAGTAAAGAGGCGTCTGACAGGCATTCCCGATTTGCCCAAGCAGAGAGCCGTTTTTGTGCCGCAAGTTTAGGACGAGCCTCTGAAAACTGAAGCTTTTCTTCGTATTGCTCTGGCAACTTTTGGCATATGCCCGTTCGCCTTCGGAGGGAAAAGCCTTTCCTCTTCATAAAGTTACCGTATTTACTCGATTCTACCGCGCCCTCGATTGTAACGCGCACCCGATTTCCACCACGAAAAAAAAAAAACGTAAGACATCGATTGCAACGCGCACCCATTTTTCTCGTTGGCCCGCACGATCACACCACTCGAAAAAACGACTCCTTTTGGGAGCGTCTTCCATTTAAATATGAGGTACGCGCGAAGCTTGTGCCCTTCTGACGGGTAAGAGAGCATTGCCGTCACTGTAGTTTTACCGTGGACCGATGTCAGCGCGCGAACTTGCTTCGCCCCCTTCTTCTCGACGGTTGTGGTGCCAGGCATGTCGAAGTAAAGAGGCGTCTGATCGGCATTCCCGATTTGCCCAAGCAGGTAGCCGTTGTTGCGCCGCAAGTTTAGGACGAACCTCTGAAAACTGTGAAGCTTTTCATCGTACTCCTCTGCAAAACTTTTCGCATATGCATGTTCCCCTTCGAAGGGAAAAACCTTTCCTCTTCATAGAGTTAGTTAGCCAGCACCTGCTCGCTTTAAACTGGCTCCGCATTAGACCTTTTTCTAAGACTAATTGCATAGCCCGCACTTGGAGCAGTTCTGTCATCACGGGCCGCTGTGCCGCTCGCTGCTCAAGCACATACTCGCTGAGCAGCTCTTTAATTTGCGGAAACCGACCCTGCTGTGGTCCACTGAAGCCTCTGCGTGAAGCTTTGCTGTCGACAATCTTCTACTTTTGTTTCCGCCGGTCCCACACGCACGTTTCGGGAACTCCGAACGACCGCGATGCGGCCCGATTTCCGTCCGTTTCTGCACACGCGATGACTTTTCTTTTAAAAGCGGCATCGTGGTGCACTCGAGTTTTTGGAGTCGGCCCTTCCACGCCGTCGATGCTAATGCACTACTAGATGACGAACTCCTCAGCACACGTACGAAGTGCCGCACATGGGAAACACATAGGCAGAAATGGCCGACGCGCCATGCCGACACACGTAGGGGGCGGCCATTTTAGGTTTGCCGATGGCAATAGATTGACCGTGATTTTTTTGTTCGTACTAGATTCTAACGCGCATGCGATTTATGAACTCCCTTAACCGGAAAAAATGTGCGCGTTAGATTCGAGTAATTACGGTAGTTAGCCAGCACCTGCTCGCTTCAAACTGGCTCCGCATTAGCCCTTTTTCTAAGGATAACTGCATAGCCTGCACTTGGAGCAGTTCTGTCGTCACGGGCCGCTGTGCCGCTCACTGCTCAGTCACATACTCGCCGAGCAGCTCCTCAATTTGCGGAAACCGACCCTGCTGTGGTCCACTGAAGCCTTTGCGTAAATCTTTGCTGTCGACAATATTCTGCTTTTGTTTCCGCCAGTCGCGCACGCACGTTTCAGGTACTCCGAACGAACGCGATGCAGCCCGATTTACATCCGTTTCGGCACACGCGATGACTTTTCTTTTAAAAGTGGCATCGTGGTGCACTCGTCGAGTTTTTGGAGTCAGCCCTTTCATGCCGTCGATGCTAATGCACACCAAGATGATGAACTTCTCAGCACACGTACGAAGTGCTGCACATAAGAAACACACAGGCAGAAATGGCCGAGGCGCCATGCCGTCACACGTAGGGGGCGGCCATTTTGGAATGCCAATGGCAATAGAATGACCGTATTCATTTTTTTTTTTATTCGTACTCGATTCTAATGCGCATGGGATTTATGAACTCGTTTAACCGGAAAAAAGGTGCGCATTAGATTCGAGTAATTATGGTATTTGGTATCTGCAAGTATTTTGCTATCTCTCTGCAAATTTTTACACACCAAGAAGTGGTAATTTTTTTGTAATGTCATTCTAACTGTCCAGATTCTTGGTGCTGTTAACATGCAGAACCTCCAAAAAAATGGGGAACCAACTTCGAGGCCTCTTTATAATTTGCCGGCACCTGTGTTAGAAGCTCTGCTATGAATTTATGAGCGCTTTCATGGGGATTGCAAAACATGCCCACCATGATGGTTGCTTTTTGAAGAAGCTGTGTGTTTTCAGTTTTTTTTTTCATTTTTCTCAAAAAAGTAAATTTACAACTGTTCAATATTGAGGCCTCAATATCTCTGCAGCTAGGGCAGGTACAACAATAATTCTTTTTGCAATAAAAACCTGTATGTGTGTAGAGGAGCAAGTATGGGAGCATAATTTAGAGAACAAGCCTTTTTAATTAATTACTCATCAAAATTTTAAAAAATTTCTAACTGCATTTCGAAAATGGATAGTTCATTTTGCTGTGAAATAATAAAACAGGATTAAAAACAAAAACTCTTGCATTATTTCAATCTACAGTCATTAATCTATGTTAGGATATTTTAAATATCACTTTTAATTAAGCACTTTTTTTTATGGCCGCCTTAAACAATAGGGGGTGAACTTAAGTTATCTCAGGAATAAGGTGAGTTACAGAAAAACTAATTAAACATTTGAAATCAACAGAAAAAGCTGCATAATTCTGTGCAGTTTGATCAAGATCATTGAAGAAATAAACAAAGAATGTCTAAGAGCAGTCTGCCCCCTTAAGTAATCTTGCGGTTAAATGGAACAATCACTTGCATTGTTTTCTTGTTGTCCACATTCAAGTTTATAGCTTTTCAGCCATGAAAAGATTCAGCCGACAGGGTATAACAGGTGCACTAGTGTGGTGGTACTGACACTCCCCTATAAAGTTGTTTGCGCAGCATGGCGCAGGTGTCTCGCCCACAAGCCGCAATTCAGGTTACAACCACGAGGCGATAGATGGCATTGTGTCTGCATTGAGCACCACTATCATCATCATAGTAGTAGCGCCAACGGTGACCCCTGGCGGAAAGCAAGCCTTAGTGGCGGGCGAGAGTTGAGCGAGTCTTTTCCTGTGCGTCCCGGTTGCCGTGAACGTTCGTCTCTAGCGTGGGTCCTCGGCGCGTGGCACTGCGGGCCGCGCGTCGGGAGACCCTCGTGGTAAGTCAAGCGTTGGCGACGTCGCCTTAGGTGTGTTATTGTTTGTCCTGTCATTGTGTGTTTGTCGTGTTATTCTGTTTGTCATGTTTCGGAGTATTGCGTTAGGTTGTTTAGTGTTTATAACTTGATGTATCGATTCGGCGGACGATATCGTCGTAAATTAGTTAATAAATGTGTATTGTTTAATTTGTCCCGACCGTGTCTGCTGTGTCCATTTTCTCCAAGAGCGTGGCGCTCGCCAATTCGAGAACCCACAACTGCCACAGCTGCTGCCGCCGTTACATGGTCAACCAATGCTTCATTATACCACATGCGCTCTGTTTTCCAACCGCAGCGATTGGACAGGCAGCTTGTATGAACTGAGGCCAAGATAGACTGCTGAAAACACCCATGAGCAACTAGCCTTACCTCTTGAGCTCCCCCAAAGCCAAACTGGGACTCCGAGAAGTCAAAGTCGGAGAATCCCGTCCGGCCGCCAAGATCACCAAATATCTTGCGGAAGAGTTCCTCGGGGTCAATGGTTGAGTGGAATCCCTCGGCGCTCCACTGTGGACCAGTTCCAGAGCTATTTCCACCAGCAAAGCCTGAGGTTGAGCCCCAGCTGTCATACTGCTGCCTCTTGCCTTCGTCACTCAACACCTGCGAGGCATGGCATCTCATTATCTTTATTGATTTCATTAAAGCATATTTCACAATTTAGACCTTCAGCAATGAGTGCAATTCAACAGTCCCTAAACATTAACAGTACGTGTCCGAAACCCCGAATGACATGGCATTACTAAACTAATGTTTTTCCAGCAAAAGTGCCAAGAGTAAAACGCCAACTGCAACCAAAGTTCACTCATCTCGGATCATTTATAAATGAGTTGCTTGCACTCCGTTAAACACATAAGCAGACTCATGAGCTTGGCAGCTGTTGACGGCGCCCTAAGCTCTAGCATGTTGCATCCCCGATTTTTCCGGTACTCTGTGGGTATTAACAAGCCCATCCTGAATTTCAGATGTTATGCCACAGAGCAGCATGTACTGTTTCCTGTGAATGTTATGGTAAGGCAGTAGCACAGATGCATTTTTTTTCTTTTAATTTGCACTATCGAAAACATCTACTTCGTAACTTTTTTTTTTTAGGGCATCCACTTGCGCTTCAAGAGCAAAGCATTGATTGGAGTCTGTTTTATATGTACAGTATCCAACAGTCGGCTTTTACACAGGAAATGTTGCAGTTGCCTCAATGCAAGAGTTAGAGCGTTACAATAATTAAGTTCATTAACATGCTTGCCACAGCATACATACCGTAAACACATGTATTTGGCCATATATTTTTGTCCCACGCAGTAATCGGGAGTGGCGGCACGTTTTGCGTAAACCTACTTAGCAGTTCAACTACATTCCACAAATGTAACAGTGGGGCAACTTAGTACAAGATTTAGTAGTGTGAAACTTGTAATACGAGACAGGTTTTTCCATACAGCCATTGCATGTGGCATGCAAATACAAAGTTTGATTAAAGTTTCCAAAATAACTGTAGAAACCCCACTTTTACAATTACTACCTACACTCATAGGATCACAGTATAGATGGCTTGCACTGATGTCACTGTCACATTGAACTCCCAACATGATGGAAGGCAAAACTTGTGACATCAGACTAATGTTATCAGTGCACCACAGTGGGTTCTATCGTTATTCACACATAGAGGCCAATAACATTCCTGCACCATTGTTATAACACTGAAACAGGTTAGCCAACACATGACATACTGCCTTTATGTCATCAAAGCTGCCAATTTGGACTACTATTACCTGAAAAACCTGTATGCATGATGTGATGTGCAAGCTATCGATAAGATGAAGCAGTGCAGTAAATCGAAGTTTTGTGACTGCATTGTTGGGAACCGTGGCTGTTAAAGCAGGTTTTACGTGCAAAACCATCAGCACACTTTGAAAGCAGCCACATACAAAATTTTTAGTAGGCAGTCCCATTCGAAGCTGCATACAGTGCAATGCAGTGAGGCTGCACATAGCAACGGCAGGTATAAAGTACATAAGCATGAGGGAGGACAGCCGGGTTAAATTCTCAGCTATACGCGTGTTTTAAATGCCTTAAGCGCCCGGGTTTTCAACTGAGCTTAGTTGAAGTGGCATCAATCCACAAGACCTTCCGCATCTTTCAATATCAGCCCTTTTACAACAACCTTGGATGGAACATTTATGAGAGAACTTCTTACTTCGTAAGCTTCGGACACTTCTTGGAACTTCTTCTGTGCCTCAGGGTCTCCCTTGTTAGTGTCCGGGTGGTACTTTTTTGCGAGCTGCACAAGAACGAGACAGCAATGAAGCTTTCTGGCACTGTTGCGAAAATATCCATACGTGTGCGGCACAATACCAAACGTCACGTGCTTCAGCATTGTACAAGATATTCTTACTACGCGGTATCTATAATTGCGCGCACGAAACATATGACGCTAATAATAAGCACACCATTCTCTAGAACTTTCTCTGGATTTGCGATCAGCCGTTCCGGAACTCCCAGTTGTTTCTTAAAATCCGTAAGCTTCACTTATATTTACTAAAACGTGCATTTACTCTTTCTTTTCCCTACTGCATTCGAGTTTACCTACCTGATAATACGCTTTCTTAATGTCCTTTTGACTTGCATTCCTGGGAACGCCGAGGACATCGTAATAGTCCTTTCTAAGGAGACTTGAGGAGACGTGCAACTGTCTGGAGTGCGAGCCTACCACAGAACGATTGGAGTTATTCCCTGGGTGGATAAAAATTCAAGTTTATGTTAGTTCGTTCGATGCAACTGAATGAATGCCCGAAACGACAAATCAAAGTTGTTCACGAACCGATTTCTAATGATGCAACCCGGGGCAACAGTCCGTTCGACTTCGAGCACAGCACACAACAGCGGGCTAGATGCGCAGTGACACGAAGCGACACGTACATCGTCATAATCTCATGCTGATAACTATAAAACTTTAATTTCCTAGTCCCCTGCAAAACATGTGGCTAAACCCGCAACTCCTTCAACAGAAATCGCGTGCGCTTGTTGCCAGCACCGCAACAGTATTACGCCAAATGAAAAGAAAAGTACAAAGTTTATTAAACATTACTAAAAGCATAATTTTGTGTTATTAAGAAATAAACTTTTTTTACTTTAGCTACAATATAAGTTTAAAAGTGTGTATATGTTTTTAGTTTTATAAACACTTAGAGTCGTTTCAAACGCTTCAGTTGTCCACACTGTGCACAACGCGTCGACTGCTCGCGTTGAGTGCCTACATAGCCTCCAATTGTTTGTTTCGTCGATAAGAATTGCGCTAACTATATGACGCCTTCGCTGCACTGACACCGTGCGAGATTGCACAGAACCCATCCATAACGCGTGAGTCTACGTTGTTAATTCAGTATCCTCGTTTTCATACAACTCCGCATCATGTCTGCCAAGCTGACGCTTCGGCAAAACTGGCGCGAGTCCGCCGCCTGGAAAGCGGAAAACCTGCCGCTGAGCACGACGAACGATCAAGCCTGCAAGTTGTTCGACTGCGGCGCTTACGCAGTACGTGGGCTGGTACGACGACCCCACCCTGGGTGGGTTGTCGGGCACGTTGGAGAGCCTGAAAAAGGCGGACCCGCACTTCGTAATGGGTCAGGTGCTGAACGTCGGCCTGACACTTATCGGCTCCGGGGACAACGTCTTCAAAAACGCGGCTCTGTCCGGCGACCTCGACGTCCTGGACTCGGTCGCGAGCAAAGGTCGACTACCGCACCGCGAGCAGCTTCACGTGAACGCCGTGTTGGCCTGGTCTCGAGGACGGCTATCGCGCGCGGCGTCGCTCTGGGAGGACATCCTCATCGACAACCCGACCGACATGCTGGCGCTGAAGTTCGCCCACGACACCTACTTCTACTTGGGCTACCAGCGCCAGATACGCGATTCCATAGCGCGCGTGCTACCGCGCTGGAAGCCGACCATGCCTCTCTACTCGTACCTGCACGGCATGCTCGCCTTCGGCCTGTGCGAGACCAATTTATACGACGAAGCGCGCAAGGCGGCCCAAGAGGCCCTTAGGCTCAACAAAAATGACGCGTGGGCCACGCACGCGCTGGCGCACGTCTACGAGATGCAGGCGGACGCGGACGGCGGCATCGCCTTCATGAGCCGCACCATGGCCGACTGGGAGCCGTGCGGCATGCTGGCGTGCCACAACTTCTGGCACTGGGCCGTCTACCACGTCGAGAAGGGCGAGGTCGAGGCGGCCATCGACCTCTTCGACGGACAGGTCTCGAAGCGCCTGCACGAGTCCGGAGCCATGCTGGACTACGTGGACGCCGCCTCGCTGCTCTATCGACTGCAACTGCGCGACGTGCCCAAGTCCACGCTGGCCTCGAGATGGCCTGGCGTCTTCGACGTGGCGCAGACGCACTACGACGACCGCGTGCTGACCTTCAACCAGCTGCACTTCCTGATGGCATTCTTGGGTTCGGGCAATGACGGTCAGCGGCTGGTCAACCTGCCGCCGCAGCGGGACATCGGGCGTCGCGAAGACGGCGGCTGGCCCGACGACCAGCAGGGCATAATGGCTGAAGTCGGCATTCCCGCGATGCAGGCCATGATCGCCCACAACGAGGGCCGCTTCGACGACGCGGCCGAGAAGTTGGCTGCCGTGAAGTACGACCTGCTGCGCGTAGGCGGAAGCAACGCGCAGCGGGACGTCTTCGACCTGCTGCTCATCGACTCGGCGATCAAGTCCGAGCGGCACGCTAACCTGGCCCGGTCGCTGCTCGCCGAACGAAGCCTGTTCCGACCGAAGTCTCCCATGCTGAAGAGCCTCAACGACGCACTGACCGCGCGCTGCAGTCCCAAGAAGCCTGCGGTCGCTGCTGGGCCGCACTGAGCGCGCTTTCCGCAATGGAACGTTGGTGGACCCAAGGAGACACGGTGGTGGAAGAGACCGTGTGCGATCACTTGTTTAGCGAAATATCATCTTCGCCCGTTTATAACCATTATAAGTCGTGTTATCAAACGTTATTTGTTCGCGATATGAACTCGATCCTGTTCTTGGCGGCGGAAACGAATGCAGGAGAAGACATCCAGCGAAGCTTATTTTCTTCGGACGGGGCACATTTCCGAAAGCGTATCAGCAGGGCTTCTTAAGATGTGTGAAAAGCTTGATATGGTTACATGTTTATTTTTTTTATTACAGAGAGCGCAACAGAACAACGCGCAGACATGTGTGTGTGTTTTGTCTTGTTATTGTTTTCTTCTAAATATTTTATAAAATCACGCGCTGTTTCACAAGTACTGCGATCGCTCAACGGGGCGCATACTACAGAATGTGTGGTTGCTTGCAAAAAGAAGAAGGCACTATTTTTTGCAGCCCTTGCGGGAGCACGGCTAAGCGCCTTGCATGCGCTGTAGGCGCGTGTTCTCACACCGGCAGATGGATTCCTCTTTCTGATGACTGCGCCAGCTGTGCGGCATGCAGCGCACGGGTATATGTGCGTTCAAATGCTCAATGGAGAGCCTTAGTGCCGGTGACCGCAAGCCACCTGTGTACGCATCCAGTTGCGTCGCTTTGTACTCCCAGCCGCAAACAAGAATACAAAGGAATGCAAGGGCTTTCGTACGAAGTGTTCTTTGGGGCCACCGCCGTGGCACTAAAACTGTAGATGTACCCAACCGAACGGTTCACGAAGGCGAAACTGTGCCATGTCAGTACATTTTGGACCAAAGAAGATCTGTGTCAATTTTGTGTTGTATGATGTGCGCATGAGGTGTGCATTAAGTACACTCAAAGGGGACCATTTTCACGCTTGAAAAGGGCCGGTCGCTTCAATTTGTTGGGGGCGCGCCCTGACTCAAACGCCTGCCTACACTCAACTACACTGCCCCGCCGCGGTGTTCTAGTGGCTAAGGTACTCGGCTGCTGACCCGCAGGTCGCGGGATCAAATCCCGGCTGCGGCGGCTGCGTTTCGGATGGAGGCGGAAACGTTGTAGGCCCGTGTGCTCAGATTTGGGCGCACGTTAAAGAACCCCAGGTGGTCAAAATTTCCGGAGCCCTCTACTACGGCGTCTCTCATAATCATATGGTGGTTTTGGGACGTTAAACCCCACATATCAATCAATACACTCAACTACAGTGTACTAGAAGAGGTTACTCAACCCACACTAACGCTCGCCTTTAAGATTGTGCAAATGCGCGACAGCTGTGGCTGTAGTCATAAGTCTCGGCTGCCTCTTCGGTATAAAGACTATAGGATGAGATTTATGTGCATACAAATTGTGGTGTTATTTGTGCAGTAGCCTTCGTGTCCTCTGGAGGCTACGGCGTGTACCTGCATATCTCTGCAAGTTTTGTTCCTTGTTACGGATCTATGGATACATATGACTAGAGTACTTTGGATATATACTTTTGTATGGCGTTAAACTAGATTTACATGGAGAATAAAGTTTATATAAAAATACTTGTCCTTGCTGTCCAATTAAGGCGGGAGCTTGAAGCGATGGAAAACCCTTCAACGCGGGTTCTCGCTGAAGCCCAGGTTTTGGCAACAGGTGTTGTCTTTGTCAAAGCATGCTAACTTCCCACCTTGGCGATTGCAAGCAGAGGGCAAGTGCCAAGGTTAGAAGCGTTAGGGTTTTGTGACGGGGTGCTTCTAAGTGTGATGTTGTTGCCCTTCGAATTCTCAGGGTTTTACGTCTCGAAATGTTTTTTTCTTTTTGATAAGGGAAAATTTCGAAGCTGAAAGCGGAAATCTTTTTTTTTTTTACTTTAGGTGATCGTAGAAGCTAAAAGAAGACAAGCAAACAAAACAGAAATCTGATGAACTATTAGATTACGAGCGAACGGTAATTATTTTCGCGAATGCTCTTGTGTCTCGGCCCACCATACTATGGAACTTAAAATATACTGCCAGTATATTCTAGGGACCACAGCCATCAAGGAGGTTCTATACTATGTATAGAACACTATACATGTATAGAACACTATACTATGTATAGAACCTCCTTCTCGATAGCCATACGTCGCACACGTCGAAGTGACGTACCGGAAACTACGCTGTGTGACTGTATGACGGTGGTCGAAATTTCCAGAGCCCTCCACTGCGGCGTCTCTCATAATCATAAGGTGGTTTCGGGACGTTAAACCCAAACAATCATTATTACTAATTATGAAGCTGCGAATGATTGAGTAAATAAATCACTAAATAGCCACACGAATTGAATAACAGGCAGATGGCGACACCGTGCACGTCCTGTATTTGTGCATCGGCTCACTCTGACCATGCTCTCGGAAGGCAAGGGATGACTAAAAAACGAAAACAGCATTCTTGTTCGGAAGTAGATGTCAGAGGGCATGCCCCAAGGTCGGCACTCTTGGCATCGGCTGCTCGGATCTGCACGATATGAACGTTGAGCAACAAAATGCAATTACCTCACGAAGCTAAGCAAGATATAGCCTGGCAAATTCCCGAAACTTTCCCGTCACGAAAAACAATGACGTATGCAAGTTAAGCAAACAGGCGCCATGAACTCGCATTGTTTTCAATCAGTTCGCATTTTATTTCCGCTGAAATATATAAACAGTTTAGTGTTTTTTTTTTATGTCACACAAGAAGAGATCGAAACAGCTAAGGAGCGTCACCAAAACTTATGCGTAGACGCTGCGTCATGTTTATAAGGGAAAACAACAAAACCTAGAGCTTATGATGAGACGACAATCTGTTTCATTTTTGCTTTAGGTTAAGATAGAAACTTAAGGTTATGATAGAAACTAAAAAAAAAGAGCTAACAGAACAACAGTCTGTTGAGCTATTATATGACGAATAAATCTTATTATTTTCGTGAATACCTAATGTAGGCTTCAACGCGCCCAAATGTCATAAAAAAAAAAGGGGGGGGGGGAACTCGGAAACGATACAGAGCTTGAATTGCGGCTTTACCTCGTTATTCACAGCTTGCTGAGTGGATGCGGATCAGTATGCGCTTTGACTAGCCACTGCCGCCGCAGTTAATCCCTGCTGATACGCTGCGCTGTGTGTGTGTGCTGTGAAATTTCTTAGCTGATGGCTTTTCTCTCTCTCTCTTTTAACCCCTTATTCCACTCCCCATGTTTAGGATAGCAAAGTAGACTTGGTCTAGTTAACATCTCTGCCTTTCCTGCATCCCCTCTCTCTTGGTGATACAGCTGCTCGCCTATTAGTATCAGCATAAAATTTTGATTGATTGATTGATTGATTGATTGATTGATTGATTTTTATCCTCAACACCATGACACATACCAACACTTGGGGACGGGTGAAGACTTCGTATGTTAACATTCGATGACAACTTGAAGAATGCTTGTTAATTTAGAACAGAAGGAAATGTGAGATAATATACCTTCGAGATGGTGCAATTATTGTTCCATTTCGCGAACAGGCCAGACGGCTATATTAGTTTGACCAGAGCAATGTTGAATGGGTATGTTAGATATTGACACGTCTTTTAAATTACTTTCCGGATATTTGTTAAAGAATAGATGAAATAAGAAAGCGCATCAAGGACGCCCCTGTGCCAATATCCCAAAACATCTTACGAATTTGTTTGGTTGTAGCTTCAATACTGGCACATACGCATTCTGGGGGATCGCCCCCCCTCCCCGCTCCGTAAAAAAACTTATTGCAGACTATGGATGATAACTACATTTCTTACGAATACGTTACTAAAATGTAAAAAAATACGCAGAAAACAGTGAAAGCAAAAATAACTGCTATTATAATAACTTAATTTCGAAGTTGTAATGCTCAGATTTGGGTGCACGTTAAAGAACCCCGGGTGGTGAAAATTTCCGGAGACCTCCACTACGGTGTCTCTCATAATCATATGGTTTAGGACGTTAAACCCAACATGTCTGAACTTGTAATTTAAATGTGAAGAAAAATAAAGTGGGCGAAAAGATCATTTGGTTCCTGCCCACGGCAAGTTATCTTTTCGGCCACTTTTATTGTTCACATTTACATTGCAATTGCTCCCAATACTATCCCCTATCTTTTCTTGGCGCGATGGTCGGTTACTATTGTGTCTAACACAGAAAACGAATCCGTAGATGTAAACTTCTTTCTATGACGTTTTAATACTACTTCACCACTATTTATCGAAGTAGAAATTATGCTTAAATATGTTTAGTGGCTTAAATAAACTTACAAATCACACCAAACACGTCTCTGTGGTAATGTCCAAAAACGTAGCTTAAACTGTTGAGTGAACTAACGTTCGTCTTGATGGTGGCTTATGGACGTCACAAATGTTATTGAGCTTGTCATGTGTGTCATAGCTTAGAACTGTTTCTGCGGTAAAATTTTAACCTGCTTTCGAAAACAGAATAACTAGAAGTATTTTTCTAATTAATGAGTCCTTGCAACATGGCAAAAAATAATGTTCAATATTTTTTTTTTTTTGTTTCTTCGCAGAATGAACAGAGGGGTAACATCGCCAAACCAGCTCTGTGTATAAATGTAAGTTTAATGGGGGACACGGCATCGAAATGCTGTGATCATCTTCATTATTTTTTTTCCTTTCCTTAATGTGTATACACTACCCACACGTGTATAAATAAACCCTAGTTGCTATATATATACACGCGTATAAGGGGTGTACGACGGATCCCTTGCTGGGAGACAAATAGTGTCGTCGTGAAGTCCTTCCCGTTCCGATAGCCGAGCTAGGAGGTCAGGCAGCACAGTCTCTGAAATTCAAGTCGTCGTCCCGTGGTTAGAAACAAAAAAATGCATGTAATACCAGGCTGCAGTGGCCGCAGATGTTTGCAGTTTTTGCTTCGCTATTTTTTATCGACGTAAAAGACAGACCAGACCACTTAACGATGGGGACGAACTACCACGCTCGGAAATCGACGATGCCGTTTCAAGAGCGGCTCCGGATGATGCCGTTTTATGCCGACTTCCGTATAGAAAAAAAAAGATCAATAGAAAGAAAAGGAAGAACTCGTGTGTCCCATTCCGAAAGCTTCTTCCTCGCTTTAAACTCGCATAAATTGGGTCAAGGCGCGCATCTCGGCGGTTGAATCGTTCGCGAAGCAAAAGTCTTGCGCTCTCCATTCCTGGACCGAGCTCCCACAAGGGGCTGCAAGGCCAGGGACAGACGGGCGATTTCCGTTATATGAGTGGCCTTCGCTCATTTCCTTTTTTTTTAGCCTCAGTATAAGGCACGCGCTGTGTGCTAAGAATAGAGCGTGCATGTATATCGTTCGATTCCGGGCGAATAACGGGGTGCGCTGTGTAAACCTATAGATATACACCGGATCCGGGAGCGATCATTGAGAGCTTATATGCAATGAAAGGCCACAGACGCTGCGGCTATCGATGCGTCCGTTTCAGGAGCCCCTTGTAGACTGACGGTATAGAAAAGGAAACGTTCATGGGCTCGCTGTTCTACCGTTTGGCAGGTGCACCTGGTAGCTAGCTATTTCGGTTAACCGGCTTCTCTGTGTGCAAGTTATTGATTCACCCCAGGAATGCAGCGCAAAGATTCAGAAGCGCAGCTCCTACCCCTGCATACCTTTTGACGAAGAGGGGAGGAGAGCCACGCTGTCTGGGTAGACCCTTAACCTCCTCATAAAAAAAAAAAAGAAAACGTTTCTTTTAAACTTAGACTTTATACCCATGAGTCAGACCCACGACTCTCGTCATGAGCTGGCCGCATACATACGTAACCACCACCCAAGTAGTGCTTGGGTGGTGGTAACCAGCGCATTTTGCACAACACTCTTTGATCGTGCCGCCTGTATCAAGCGTGCAAAAAAAAAAAAACAGAACGAAAAGTTATAGAGCCGGCTCACATTAGGAATTTATGTTTCAATTGCGTGAGTGTTTCAAACATGTACGTAAATGACCAAGAAACTCAGCTTTTGTTTGGTCACGTGGGATTTCGTTTTCGAGTGATTGATAGCATGAACGCATGTATAAAAACTGGCTTCATTTTTTTGAATAAATACGAGATGGCGTAATTCCGCGTAATTTGTCTTTTCTTCGTTTTCGTTTCTTATCTGAGTCGTGAAACCATGTTGTTTATCACTGCGCTGATGATTAGTTAACGCCTGTCTCAATTAGGGGTTATGCCTGTCCAGAAATAATAATGAGTGTTTACCGCCTTTGTGTACCCTTCGTTTTTAGTGAAATCGAGGTGAGTAATGGTACTTACCGAATTTTCTTGGCACATAAGCTCGATATGTATAAGATTCTTTGCGTACATGGGGCGGACTAAGTTTGGTTTCGCTTATCTGTGGACAGCTTCTCTGTAAAAACGTTCTGTGAGCTAAAATCACCCCTGAGAGAAAATTTTTCAACCAATCACGATTCCGCGCACATCATTAGCGAAGCTGGCAGTGAGCTCTTACGATGGATAGAAAACTTGGTCAATTCGGTCCCGCTTTCCCGACGTGCGCACTTAATTCCTTAGCTCTTCC